GAGAGAGCGATGCTTGAGGCTGTCAGGTGGGAGTTCGTGGTCTTCGTAGAGAGTGTTTTTCGCTTCGAATCGTCGACGAGGCCGCGAGAGGGAAGAGGGTGGGTCTGGAACCACGCCCCCTCCACTCCCTCCCCCCTCACTCCCCACTGTCACTCCAGCCACACTCATGCTTCCTTCAGAGGGGGAGACTCCATCAAATTGCTTCAGTGGGTCCGCGTCCCTCTCCTGACTTTCAGGATTTCTGACTTGGTTCGAGTTGTATTTGGCGTGTTCTTTCTGCACTGTGTCCAGAGTGGCGTATGCCTCGGGTAGGGCCGCATCAAACACTAAGCTACTATTCGCACCGTCCTTGGCGGCGTTCGTGGCGGAGTTCCCGCTCTGACTGGCGGTCAGCATGATCTGGACGTCCGAGCGAGAGCGCGACGTCATCTCTCACCGGCTCTTCTCACTCCGCGCTGCACAATCTCTTTCTTCCTTTCTCTCCTCTAAGAAAATCTCTGAGAGGATGCGCGGTAAAAATAGCGCGGTGACGGGGCTACGCGCGGAGATTTCGCATGCACCGGCCGGACAAGTTTTGAAGCTCCGACGATCCCGTGAACTGAACGTGACTAGCTAGCTCGAGTTCTTTTCTGACTCAAAAGGCAACCAAGACACACGTACACAGGTAGATGGCCTGACCGCTCTCTAGAAGCAAAACACGTTTTTTGGGCGTGGTATAAAGACCATACGATGATTGCGCGTGCGCAGAACGTGATAACGCGATCGCGATCGATCGACCCGCGCCGCGCGGAGACTTACGACGTCGCGCTCGTGGGAAAGGGACGAAGGGAGCATTGCAAGGACGCAGCACTAACTGCCTAACAACTGCAACATAGGATCTGCGGCGTTCCGACTAAACGCGCGGCACAGACATGTCGTCGAATCACTGCCAACAGCCCGTGTTCGACTCCCACCCTCCCGAACTCTACGGCTCGCACGGCGCCGAGGCCTCCCAGCGATACGTCGGCAGTTTCCTCCAAGCCGAGAGCCTGGCGCCGCAGGTTGAAGAAGGGAAGAGTCCAGAGGGAAGCCAAAACACCAGTACGTACATGTCGCTGCGAAACCAGGAGCGAGAGCCTTCGAACGAATACGACTACATTCCGGGGGATCCGACTTTAGAACCCCGGCTCGCGATCGCTCCTCCGCCGCCGACCGAAACGCGCGGACAAGGCGGCACGTTGGAGAAGAAACGCAGACAAGAACCCGCGGACTCGGGTACGTCGAGCGGCGATGGTGGGCGCTGCACTAGGAAAGTGACGGAGAATTCCATGTACGAGAACCACGACATTAAGCCCTTGCTCCACCCAACGCTAACAGGCCGCGATGAGGTATGTTCAGATTTACCACCTCGTGCATTATGGGACACGTAGGCGGCGGGTAGCCAAATCAATTTTCGTCTGCCATTTCTGCACAATCTCTACACATTCCGAGATAAAAGGTCTAGCTGATAACTAGACTTGTTTCTGAGTGGAAACATTACTTGGAGACAGGCCACCCTAGCCCTCCCTAAGACTGTGAAAAACACAGTGTTTACTACAATTCACTCCAAGCTTTGTTTATGTTTTTCGCCTACAGGGAATGGAAGGGGTGGCAGTGAGAGAGGGAGAGAGATGCTCATGCAGTACCAAGTCTCTAGTACAGGCGTTCTTCCTGGCCATGACTCTGTTGTTAGCTATTGCCTCCCTGGGTTTGTCTGGCCTCATGTGGTTCGGAGTCAACGACAACGAATCGCCCACTGACACCACTTCTTTGCCTGTCGAAATGACTGGGTGCAGCTGTCCAGGTTTGCCCCCCCCCCTCATTATGAAATCGTGATGATTTTCTTTTTCCCACATATTCCTTGTTATTATGGACCATCTACCGTTTACATACCCAGTCTCCATTCATGTAAGTCAACATAGGAGTTACTAGTCCCTTCAGTAGTACTCAATTGCTGTATAATACTTTAGAAGTAGTTTTGCAACATTGGTTAAACACACTATTGCTGTAATAAGAAGTTGTTACTGCAGCCATTGCTGTAATGGAAGTCCTATACATGTAATATGATTAGATAATGGCTCCACTATCAGTGATCTACCAGTGGCCCTGGTTGTGGCTTGCTCCATTGTCCTTGTGTGATCTCTTTCCTCTTCAGCTGCTGAGAGAGGAGCTAGAGGAGCTGAGGTCTGCTCTGGAGGATATGAACACCTCAATACTGGAGGTAGAGGTGAGTGTTCTCTCTCTCTGACCCAACTTCTGAGGAACAAGAAAGTGGCTAAAACGGAAAACTTAAGCATTGGGCAACTGACCATTCATATGTTCTACATTTCTGAATTTAGCCCTTATGAACTCCCACGTTCCCTTTAACACACGTGTTATGCATTCAGAGAGGGGAAGTGGTCCTTGGAAGGAGGATATATAGAATGGACTCCTATATAGTGTAGTGTGTGTGTGTGTGTGTGTGCAGCTACGATCAAGTCCTGCACGTGGTTTCCCACAGTTTATGTGCAGTCCAGTGTACCAAGCACATGAATCGCATTCTATCTTATTTTAGTAACGTTCCTAAATTTAGCCCCCATATATCCAGCAGCACCCTTTATTCTTGCCTTCTATGTACAATAGCAGCGAACTTTGACCTGAGAGAGACCAAACCCTTTTCTTAGCCCTATATGTACGTTTCTCCTCCCTCCCTCCTCCTCCTCAGGCTCAACTAACCATTGAAACCAACACTCTACTACCAGTAGTACTGGACAGAGTCGAAGACCTCACCTCTGACGTTGTCAACATCACTCAGCTCTTCAACTCCGAGCCTCCCGTTGATGTGCTACTCAACGTCAGCCATATCTACGGCAGGTGTGAGACGACGATCAAGTCCAGCTGTAGTCTTCCGCTCACCTCGGCCCTCAACAACTGCACCACTGACTTTGTCCTCACAAACAGCTCGGTGAGTTGGGAGAAGATTCAATCTGAAGCAGTAATCCTGTTGTTTTCTACCATCCTTGCCGTAACGGCACGCCCAGTTATCAGGTTCATAACTTCTCCTGTGTTTACATCTTTATCTCCAGTTGAAGGGGTTGTGTCCTAAGTCCGTGGTAAACCTGAATAGGGTGTTGATGCTATAATGTTTTGGGGAGGGAAATGGCTCTGTATGGTCAGCAATGTGTCAATTGTCTCTGTTTTTTCTTCTTCCCTCCCTCGCACGCACTCGCAGGAGTCCTATGTGCTATACAGCGTGTGTAGGACCAGACAATTAAGTATTACTGCAGACTACACGGCTGTTTTGGCTAGTCTGGAGGTGAGGGACGAGGACGGAGCCGTGCGGTGCTCCTGTCTGAGACTCGGAGAGCCTACTGTTGCAAGGGATTGTGAGCTAGCAGTCACCTCCTGCCCCATCCTATGGGACCTTAGTAGTGGATCTGGAGTGGTGGTATGAGGTCTGTCACGTGATAGTCACGTGATTTGGTCAATACTGGTGTTTTATTACAAATGCTTGTTCATTATCAATTTTCTCTGTGTGTGTTAGAGTGATCTTCAAACTTTATGCCTCATCATATATACTACCAACTTCACTTATTACCATGCATAATGGCAGAGTTGTGTGATCATCAACTTGTACCTTCATCATACCAACTTCACATCTGTTAGTCACCGTCATGATGTCATTATGTATGTAGGTCACAGATAAGGGTGAGGAAATTATGCTCTGGCATTATAGTAAAAGTTCGGTAAAGAAACTTGCACAAATTGCAAGGCCTGTGATATTCACTGTTTAGCTGTTGCGCGTGCGTAGAATGCCAGGCTGATAACGCGCATGCGCACGATGAACCCACGTGGGACCTTTGAACTTAACTGCATGCCCGACGATGGCTTTTCGGGTGTTTCTCCGACCTCCATTGAGTCCCTGGAGACGCGTGAAGCAGGCGCACAGCAGCCAACATCAACTGGGGCGAATGCTGCAACTCAGAACTGGTCGCTGCGTAACTTCTACGCCGACAGAAAACGGTATATACATACATTGTACCCTTGGTATATACGCAATATTCTGATACCTCAGAATAAGGGGCACATTAGGGAGATATTTATTCAGATGTATTACAATGGGCAGAACCAACTAGAGATCCTTTTTTATGTTGCACTTTATATGCATACAGAATGGACTCTGGACCTGGACACTGATATGGAGGAGGTAAACCACGCCCCCCGCCAGGATGAGGAGCCACACCCACCACACCCGACGACCAAACATCGCTCGTTGACCAGTCGGAGCGGCCGTCTCTTGTTCAACGTGGGGAAGAAAATCATGACAGCTGACGAGTTTGTCCGTAAGTCCGCTGTTGCCAGTCGCAAATCGCAAATCACTATGGATACGACTGATTACGATGATAGCGTTGCTAAGGAGGAGAAGGAAGGGGAAGGGGTGGGTTGGGTCGAGTGGGGAATGGGGGAGGAAGGGGAGGGGGAGGAGGAGGGGGAGAGAAGGAGCACAGGGAAAAAGAAAGGGCTGCAGAGTATGAGACAGACGAGGAAATTCCTACGAGGGAAAGCTTTAGCAGGGAGTCGGTTGACCACGCCCCCTTCCCCGGAGACGACGGAGCTGGTGGAGGTACTGGAGCGTCACCTCAGTCTGAGTGCAGGTCACCGCGAGGTGTTCTCGGCCGTGCCCTCGGTCCTGGGGAGTTGTGGGAGTGAGATGGAGGAGAAGGTGAGGGAGCTGAGGAGGGCGGGGTTCACTCGGCGTGAGGTGGAGACCGTGCTCGTCTCGTTCCCAGCCATACTCCAGGTTGACTTCGGGAATGTGAGTATGGAATACTGAACCTGTCACAAGACAGAGTAATTCACATTTTGAAACGTGTTGGTAAACACCTTTTCTCCGTTCATTGAGTCAAGGAAGAGATTTTTCTGTGCATTTGCTAGCGTGCGGGACAGTTCTCCCACAAAGGTTCACGTAATTTACTACTGTGCGAGATAGTTCAAAGTTCACGCGGGTGTTATTTCCGTCTCTACAGGTGTATGAGGTGTTCTGTGTGTTGAAGAAGTGTATCCCTGGTGGCTACATGTTGCGAGGTCTCATGGCCAGACACCCGTTCCTGTTCCTCCAACCTGTCAAACAGGTTTGACCGCTTCTACCTCTCTACCTCCACTCCGTACTGTGGAGCACTTTCAGTACAAAATACTTCTTCAAATCACATAAAAGCTGCTTTTTGTGTTATAAACGCTGTCAAACCAGAATGCTACCAAAGTTTTTTTACTTGTGAACTTATCAACTCTCAGATTGAAGAGAGAGTTACAGTGCTCAAGGATATCTGCAGAGATCCAAATGCTCTAGGTGAATATTTCATTTTCCCTTTCAGTAATGTTCGTTGCTCCAAAAAGATTGTGTGTGTGTATGTGCATGCTGTCTCAATTTTTGCATGATTATTTGGGGTCTTCTAGTTTACGATGTATTTGTGGTTGCACTGTCAGGTTTTCTGCTCCACCATTTCCCCCTCCTCCTCTTCACCCCCCTCACACCCTCCACCCTCCACACCGTCACAAAGTTCACATCCTCACACTTTCCCAGGAAGAGAGGGAAGGGAGAGGAGGGAGGAGGAGCAGCGAAGGGTGTTCTTGGGCATAGCTGGGTGGCAAAAAGCCTCTACCACAATCTAGTGAGTTTTATTATATGTACTCACGACCTGTTATACAGTCTAACCCCTCTCTAAGGACACCACTGAAATGAGGACACCTCTCTCTAATAATGATGAGACATTTCTTTCCCCCAAGAGCAGTGTACTCCTTAATACGGACACTTTGTTCTGTCCCATTGGTGTCTGGATTAGAGGAGTTCCACTGTACCCCCATTCCAGTCCACCCGGCCAGCCAGAATGGACCCGGGACCAGACACTAACGCTCTTGTCGACCTACTAGCAGAGTACCAACTGGACCCCTCCCCCACTTTCATAAAGTTCCCCGCCTTCTTCAAGACCACCTGTACGTTCACACGGTCCCATTCCCATACCCCCATTCCAGTTTTTCGGTTCCCGTGTTTCCAGACACCCATGTCGCCTCGCTGCTGACGGTTCTGACTGGGTCGCCTCTATACCTTGACTCTGTGGCTGTTCGTACACTCCTGGTCTCCATTCCAGACCAGCTGGTATGGACTCGGGACGCGGAGCAGCTCCAGACTCATTTGACTCAGCTCGTCTCACTCTTCCCTTCTCCCAAAGACTGTTGTGAGAAGGTCTCCCACTCCTTTCACTTTCTTATTGTAAAGATGGAAATTTTAGCAGCGATGGTTCGGCAGTAAGAAGTACTCCAGGTTTTAGCCTATTGCGCAAGCACGATGCCACACCCCATTAAACTGTGTGTTGTGCTAGTGTTTGCACTATGTGTGAATGAATCCCCATGTAATGACGATCACTCCTCACCAGCTATTGTACCACTTCTATTTTCTGGTCTTGTAGGCCAGCTTTTTTGGGTGAGAGGTGTTTGCTAATGATACCAATAACACATACATCAGTTTTCATCGTCACCTCCTTCCCTCTCCCTTTCCCCTCGCCCACCCAACCACCACGTGACAATACCCCCAGGTACAGTCATATCCTGGCCTAGTTCTGCCTCAGTTGGACCTCGCCAGTTGGCTGGACTCCCTGGCATCTCATGGCTTCACCACTCAGCAGACTGGTAAGGCTGCCACCACTCTATATAGACTTTATAGAGGATACTACTCTAGCCACCTTTCCATGTGTACACTCTGACCTGTCCCAAGACCTTTCCTGTCCGTGGCACCCCTCAGCCTCCTCTCCCTCTTTCTTCCCTAAATATGACTCCCATTGCTAGACTCATGTCATTTCTTTACTCACTTCCAACATAGTCGCACGCGCCAAGAGTTACCTACCTCCTATGTCTCCCGCTCCATCGCTTCATCCCTCTCCATTCTTCTTTCCTCCTCTTCCTCCAGCTTCACTGGTGTCTGACACTCCAAACATTTTGCTGCAGGACAGAGAGAAAGAGTTCATGCCTCGCCTCAGGTGGGTTGTAGGAGGAGACACACAAGACACTCTGTCAGGCACTAGAGCAGTGGGGAATTAAAACTGTCGACGTTTTGAGTCGTGTAGTATTCTGCATGTCAAAAGAAATGCAATACGTAAACGCAGTTACATGCTTTCTTCGCTCTGTTGGTTAAAATTCCTACCCTCCCCTCTCCTTCGTCTCTCTCCCCTACCCCACCCTCCCCTCCCCAGACTCCTAGTGTCAATCCCCGGAGCGGCTCCGGCTTGTCTGGTGTCCTGCTCTGTCGGCAGTAGAGTAAGGTCAGAGATATGAACTACAGTGGGGGAACCCCTTTAATCCAGACACCAATGATACACCAAGAAGTGTCCCTGTTTAGTATCAGGAGTTGAGACAGAAGAAAGGTTGTCCATTTGACCTTACTTTAGGGGTTAAAGAAACTGATACTGGAGAGATAAAGATGGATTAGCCGCGGGAATCCAACCCGGGAACGGCTGGCTTTACATGTGTGCAAACGTGCAGAGTGTTTTACAGAGATATCGGACGTTTTGGTCAGAATGTTTACATCGGCGAATACACCGTAGAGGGACAAAAGCCAACTCGAGCCATAGTTCAGTGGAATCGACTACAGAAGGGGAAAATACCCCCCTTATAAAACTCTGCTATCACTAACTAACTTTTACTCTCTGGACCTTTCTCTCTCTCCACCCTCCCTGGCAATCTCCTCCCTCCCTCCCTCCCTCTTTTCTTATCCATGGTGTGTCTATAGAATGCTCAGCACTCCAGTAAATGTCCTTACGGAGCGACTTAACTATGTCAAGAGATGTAAGGTAAAGTTGTTCGTAAATACTGACACAGTTTGTTTGTTGTTTCAATATTTGAAGTTAGACCTGCAAAAACATCTAGTCTACACAAATATGAGAACTTTATTTCTGGGGCGCTGGGAAAGGCATGAGCCAAGGTGTGCACTGCGAGCTTCCTGGTCTTACAAAGCCATGGCAAAACTCTATAATGTTGGAGGTGGGGAGACCCATTGTCTCCATATCACCTTCATTACCTAACCCGCTATACTCCAGCCAGGATTAGATCACAGCTGCATCTAAGGGTATAGAGTGACCAAACCTGTGGCACACTGGGAAGCCCTCCCAGCCCTGCATTCCTGAGGAGTGAGGGGTCCAGACTGATGTCTGCTGTGTCTGAGGCTTCTCTCTCTCTCTCTCTACCTGCTAACCATTCTTTAGCAACCACACACTTTTGTGTGTGGTATCCTCTTACCTTATCTTCTTACCTATCTTCTTACCTGGCTATGTTCTTGGCCTCTAAGGCTTCTGTCTGCCTTTCCATGTACCTGTGTGATGAGAAGGGATAAGGGATTTATGGCCAACTGATAAATTTTGTTCCCTCTCTGATTTTTTCTGAAAGTTGGAATCTCTCCATTTTCTACTATAGTAGTGCAGTATATTATGATACCTCATTGTACTTGTAGACTGTGTGTTGTATTGTGTCCTTTGTAGTGAGTACACTTTATGTGGAGGTCACATTTGTTGCAGGAGTATATATTATGAATTGGGCTTCCCTGGAGTCAATCTTGTAAATAATATTGTGATGTCATCTTGTAGTGTGTGTGTAGCTGTGGTAGACAGTTGTCTCCACTCCTCATAATAATTCTTTTCCTGGTGTGGTGCAAAAGGTGCTTATTGCCACGTGTGAAAATCACGAAATTGCACAACCAGGCCCAGTCTCACCTTCTTTACGAACATGCAACGAATACCAACCAGCTCAAGGTTAGCTGCTAAAGATTTGGGGGGATTTCTTGCAGTGACACAACAAATTTTCAGAGGTGAATACGAGCGCCTTGCGTGACGCAGGACGAGAGCGAGCGCATGCGATCCGGCCGGAGCCATGCCCTCCCAGAGCCGCGAAGACCGACCGTGCACCGGACAGATTCCTTGGACTCGCTTCGTGTAGCCAAAGAGTTTGTTTTGCAAACCGAGAGTATCGTCTCTCTCAGTGTGTTTGGCAGATGTGGAAAGTAATGGCTTGAGAATTTTTACATTGTGAATAAATTATGGGTGAATAAATTATGGAAGTGACACAAAATTATCAGAGGCCATGAACCCCCGCAAAGACGACAAGGGGCACGGGAAAAGAAAGGGAATCATAAAAAGCATTAAAAGACGCAACAAAACACAAAAGCAACGGAGTTAAAGAGAGAAGTGGGGCCATTCATTAGTTTGATGAGAATACACATTCTCCATTTCTGTATGAAAAAATCAATTAGATGGGAAAAAAAGCACAGTCTGGTAACATTGAGAAAAAAAAAAAATAAATGTTAAAACGTAAATATAGTTCGAGGGGAGTTCGCGAAAAAACAAATCATTTAAAAAACTCGGTCCTTTTCAGACAGCACAATAAACTTAAGTACGTTGTAACATAGTGGCTTCTTTGCAAAATTTTTCTATAGAAAAATGAGGTGCGGTGAGCAAACACATCACAAACTATCAATTAAAACCATTCGTACCTCTTACCTGTTTCTGTACAGGGCCCTTTATATATAAGACGTGAATATAACCGCCCCTAGGAACTTCAAAACCGTCCACAGTGACAGAGTATATCAAACACCAATACACTCTTTTTAACCCCTTAACCAGTCATATCATCGAGGCGCAACATAATACAAAAAAAGATAAATCTACACCTAACGTAACAGCGGTATAACTTTTAAAAAACTTGCACCCATTTTACACGCCTTAAGGGGACCAGTTTTAACGAACATACTATCGGTACGATAAATTTTAACGTAGTGCCCCAATGTTGGAAAACGACCCTCTATCCTGACAACATAGACTGCCAAAATCTGTCCGCATAATGAATACGAGACGAGGCGTCGCCGATAAGGTGTCTCCCACCCCACACAGACCCCACGAACTGCAGAAACACAGCAGCGGGCGCGAGATTTAGGGAGCAACCCCATATAGCCTATGTACTTTTTAGGTGGCTAAGTACTAATTGCCTGACAGAACCTCATATTTTAGTTTAGAGGTGGTGCGTGGACAAAGTGCAACAAAAGAATTCGACCCAACTTTCACGATGCCCGCACTCCTAAAAACAAATCAGGAATCCGTAAAAAAAAACGGCTATGCAATCGAAAAATATCCATGACCTAAAAATCACGCAATGATGATCGGTCTTGAAATCCGACCTCTACACACCTTCTAAACACACATAACTTATGGTCAAGTAATTAGCCACGGATCAACCAACACGTGAATAAAAACAATAATTACAGTGTTAAAACAACAAAATCAATCAGGACGCAGCCATATTCACATCCAAAAATAAATTATATCGGAAAAGAGGGAGTATGGACAAGTTGACGCGCTGGAAAGACCTTAGAGAAATGAATCCCTATTTCAACAAGAATTATGTCTCTCTAAAAACCCCAGAAGTGGAGACAAATTGTGTAACCGTGAGTACCACCCACCCAAAAGAAACATAACATAGACCCCACTAGTCTCATGACGAGAGTGCACTAACAAAAATGCAGGGTTTACATTAAAAACTCATCCAGAAAACATATACAACAAAACAGAAATACTGAGGGGGCTCTTGTATATTTGATCAGGCGAAAACGCGCGTAGAAATCTGATCCACCCCCCAAATCATTAGTACGTAGGCAGCAAACAAATTAAAAACCATAGGACTAAAGAAGAAGACGACTTCTGAACTTCGTAAGGTGGGAACAAAATATAGCAGAACGATGGACAACGCCCAGGTATCTTGCACAAGAAAACAAACCCACAAACCCAAAAATAATAATAAAAAGAACTCATATTAGAAGGATTTTCGACCGCTTGAAGAGCGCGGAAAAAACAGAGGTACGCAACTAAACACGCAATATTTAGAGCGAAAGGGAATCCCCTACAGCGTGGAGGGGGAACTTAAATTAAACAGAAAACCGAAAATAGAAGCGAATAACACAGAGCGGGAATATCCTGAACCCAAAACTAAAAAACAAATGAAGAAAAAGGTAAAAGAAAAAAAATTAAAAAAAGTTTGTTTTAAAAACAGAATAGTTTGTGTTAATATCTTTGTATAAAAAAAAAAAACATGAAATGAAATATTGTAAAAAAAATAAAATTATTGTTTATGTAAGCATGGCTACAGGCCTGTTTACTGAGGGTAACTAGAGGACACCACGTGCTGCTCCCAGGTTGGTGTCAGGGGCTGGGGCTAGCGCTAGCAGTTTGATGCGTCCCGCCGTTGCAGCGGCCTACTGAGGGAGGTGGGTGGCGCTATTTGCCCTAGCACCCTCTTAGCCCGCCCTCTTCCCGCAGGCTGTTTACACTGGGAGGCTGGGTTGGAATGTTATCGCTGCGCGGTCGCCTGCCTTTGTAAAAATGTGGTTGTTGGTAATTACCTGCGGCTAGCTTTTGTTCCCTGTTGATTTACTTTTACCGCTTTGTGGTATCTTGCTTTATAGTGGGGACTTAGGGCACTCGGGTTGATATTCAGTATAATACCTCCATATTTGCCTCCACTCCAGTTATAGTGAAGGTGTTTAGGATAGTTGGTTGGCTTGTCCTTACCTCCAACTTCTTGTATGGTGCCCCATTTTCATGCACACAGCTGTGTTTAATCTCTATGGGAATTGGAGGGACCTGGGGTCTCATGAGGCAGCTGCCTCTGTAGCAAGGGGTTTGTGTTTGGTGTTCTCCTAATTGGTGGGGAATTGGGGAATTGGGTAATTTGTGGGAAGAGTGTCCCATTTAGACACTAATTGAAGCCTGAGACTGTGGGCAGGTGGGCTTATTAGCCACCCAACGGGGCGTGGTAGTGGGCGTGGCATCAGTCTTCTAAGGCGCCTAAATCTCTGGCTACTTAGGGTGCATCTCAATCTGTCCCTTAGAGAAGGTTATTACAAAAAATTGCTGCTTCTAAATTTCCAAAAATGCAGATCCATGAAATTTTGCACCTACCATATTTATCCCCTATAAGGTTATAATATCCCCAATAGAGTACTGTTTCATGCACCACTGACCTCTAATACTGACCTCTAACACGTGCAGGACTAACTAATTTATGCATCACTGGACACATTATAAGGAAAGTCCATTGTGGTCTGTGGAGGTGTGATACTGTATATGGGATAACCAGAATACTGTTGGGAATAGATGGAGGAAGTCAGGTGTATATAATATACTGGTTGCATCATGTGGTGCTTAATCATGGCCCATATATCCCTTTTGTAGGCTTCTATGGTTTTTATTGTATGCCAAGTAATGCTATTGTAGTGAGATATTATGTGGCAGGGACCCAGCATGTGACCTTGGAATTGTCTCTACAGTTTCCTGTTCTAATTCCACTGTTTTGCTTGGTCAATTCTACAGTCCCATTCCTGTTCCATTTTACTTTCTGGCCCAATTCCATTCTGCTTTCTGACATTGATTCTATTCTGTTGCCTGGCCTACTAGTGTATTACCATGTCACTAACAATGACATGGTTTGGTAGAAAAATTTTCTTGAAAAGTTTTTCCCATCACTTAATAAAATGCTAGTAAGTCACTGTATCCAGAATACAGTATATTTCATGTGGATGTGTGTGTCCGCTTCAATGTTTGTTATTTTGACAACAAAGACACCACCAATAAACATTACTTGATACGTATCACCTCACGAGTATAATTGCACATTAATTTGAGAACGTATCAAGATAATCCTGATACCAGCGGCTGCGGTAGGTCCTTGAAATTGAGATACGACCTTCACAACCTCTCACTTGCTCAAGTTGCACGCCACTTCCTGTGCAGCTATAATAATATGACACCTGTCCTCATATATCTATACACCATCATAGTATCTCTGAAAGGATGATGTTACTTGTACAGCAACATGCTCAATGCCATAATGAAAAGCTGAGATGTGTTAGTGATACAACAAGTGTTCTTGATACAGCGTGCATTATTTGGAGTTTAGTATTCTTTATTGGACTATATACAGTTTACAGACTTGTATAATTATACCACACATGGTGTGCATGCGGAGAGGTTTAGGCAATTGTTGGGCTGTTATTGATAAGGAGTAAGAGATTCCACTGGTTAACCGAAAGTGCGTCCTTTTGCAGGGAAATCCAGTATAGGAGTTGGAACCAGCATAATTATAGAGAGTGGTGTATTGGCAGTGTTCATTATGTGAAGGAGGTTTGAGGTATGGGGTGGTGTATGTGTGGAATGAACAATTTCCTCCAGGATGGGAGAGGAGGCGGTATGGAGCCAGTCTGGTTGCCCACAGAGTGGTAATGAAACTGGCAGTTGTAGAGTTGTGGTGCTAATCCCTCTCCTGCTGTCTGCCTGCTATGGTGTCTGGTGACCTCAGTAGCTAGGGGTAGGAATCCCTGTGGCTTCCCTCCAGGTATTGTGGAGGTGGGTTAGCACCTACTCTTTGATCTCCTACCCTGCTCTTGACAAGAGTGTTCATGCTACTTGGTGGCCATCATTACTGTCACTCCCAACCACTCGTCATTAGTCGCCTTCTCTCCTTCTTTCTTGAAGGAATAATTATGTTTGTCTGTTCCACACAGCCTGACCTGGTCTCAGGGGAACACCTGGAAGTGATATTTGGCTCCAAGGAGAGGGAATTTGCAGCATTTGTGAGTTGGAAATCAGCCACAGACTCTTCCTGTTTCAACCCAATTCCCTTCCTTCTCCCAGACGACAGTGTCCTGCTCTCGGAGCGCTCACGCTACGAGAACTCGACACATCGCCTACTCCCATCGCTCCTCCTTCTCCCTCTCCCCCTTTCTCCTCCTCCTCCTTCTCCCTCTCCTCCTCCCTCCTCTTCCTCCCTCCCTCCCTCCCTCCCTCCCCGACAGTGCGGTAAGACAGCGGTCCAGGTACACTCAGACACAGGTCTCAGTGGTATTGAACTAAAGAGATTCAGCAAATCGACACAAAAACCTTCCTCCAGGAACAGGTACACACACCTTAGCATGTCACCATTATTATGACATGTAAAACAAAAGTAGAAAACGTCCTATGGGTCTGTAAAATCATTAGGGGTGACCCTTGCTATTATTAAGAGCCATAGGGTATCACCCATATTGACTTGCGGATGGGCTTATACACCTGTATGTGTGAATCACATCACATGACATCCTGGTAATAGCCCACAAAGAAGAGGGATGTTTTATAATTAGCAGGAAACTACAGGGAAGTTATGATGTAATGCTGCTACAGCTGTTGGCTCATTATCATGTGCCTTTGCATGTGCAACATGCATGTAGGAAGTCATGTAAACATCATGTATATCATTACAGGAAAACATGTGTCCACTTGTGTTTGGATTGTCCATAAAAATCATTATTGTGGGATGGATGTGCATCCTCATCCCCCCCCCCTTATTTTGGCTATTGACTGGAAATTATTTGCCAAACTGGCGGTACCTCATTTGTAATGTGGTAATGTTTTAGGCCAGGAAATGGGACTTCCTATTACAGAGCAAGTTTCCTCCATAGGGCCCCATTATGGTGAAATGATACAATGAAGGGAGTGGGGGAGAGGGAAGAAAAGTACTTATGCTGGGAGATATGTGTGTTCTTAGTAATTAGTGTACTATAGTCCCTTAACATCTCTCAAAATAATTGGTGGTGCCTTTTGTAAATTTTCAACAGGCTCTGCAACGAATTTGTGTAGGCAAGATTTCTTGCCTGAACCCAATAGTGGTTTTCAAACAACAACGCAACATACAAAATTGTACAAAATCAAGATAAGAGCTGTATATATTTTCAGATAAAGGCTGTGTACATTTAATTAAAGCCCTAGCAATTAACAACTTTACCATTTCATCAGTTGGTACCTAGCTGGTTACTGAAAGTAAAATAAACCAGTTGCATGCTAGCTTATCTGGTGAAGAGGAGGATTTGTTGTGCCTCATTATGTGGATACTTGGAAAGAAGTCTTAGGTCTGTGGCTGTTACCTCTGCTCTCAAAGGATGGGGCAAAACCCATTTCCATCTTATTTCCATCTTATTTCCCTGGAGGATGTGGCGTTTGAATTGCTGCTACTTCTTTCCCACTATTCCCCTCTCACCCATACCCTCTCTCACTATTCCCCTCTCACCCATACCCTCTCTCACTGTTCCTCTCTCACCCATACCCTCTCTCACTGTTCCTCTCTCACCCATACCCTCTCTCACTGTTCCTCTCTCACCCATACCCTCTCACTGTTCCTCTCTCACCCATACCCTCTCTATGTAGCTCAGTGTAAGCAAAGAACACAAATTAAGAGCGCACAATCATCTCCATGTATCCCAGGGGGATATTAACCAAGACTCCCTCCCCACTGACCAATTCCCCCTAGGTAATGGGAGCCGGTGTATATAGTAGCTGAGGTTTTTGGCGGGAGTTGCTGTGTCACTCTCCATCTGTCATTCACTACCAGCTGCATTCCTGTGGCAGGGTGCTCATTCATTAGTGTGTGGGTAGAGAGGGTATTTTCAGGGTCATTCCCCGCCTGATTACGGTAGAGTTTTACTCCAATGAGGGACTTGTTGCCTGTTAGTCTATTTCAGAGGACATGATTATGGCTCTGGAAATTGAGAGGTGTCCTGATTGGCAAAGGGATGTCCTGAAATGAGGTGTCCTAATTAGAGTGAGTCCTGATTGGCATGTATGTTATTTTCAGTGAAGTGTCCTGATTTACGATGTGTCTTGTGGAGGTGTCCTGATTAGCGAGAGGTGTCCTGATTTGTGGAGGTGTCCTGATTTACAATGTGTCTTGTGGAGGTGTCCTGATTTACAATGTGTCTTGTGGAGGTGTCCTGATTGGTAAGATTTCGACAGCTGACGAAACGAAACGTCCACGTCAATAGACTATCATTACTCCCGAGGTCTCATCCACCACTATATATACCGGTGCAAAACCTACAATGTACAGAGTCCATAGGTGAAGCTGTGATGGTATACCTACATATGACACAGTATGGCATGCAATAAGACAGTTACTGGCCCCCTCAGAAGCATGCACCCTCTACCTCTCTACAGGGTGCTAACACGGAGGTAGCCAAAACAAGGAAGTAACTGGGCCCATATACACTCACACTCTGTAGTCCACCACCCACGTGGTATATACAGACTGTCTACTTGTAGAGATGTATTATACCTTCACACCATTATAGCAAAGAGGTGGGACTGTTATCAGCTTGTCATCTTGTAGTCCTTTACATGCGGTTTGTAAAGGATGTGTACATGATGTATAATATGCTTGACATGCAGTTTCCAGTGATGTCATTACTAAAATCAGGCAATTTTGTGAGCTGTTGTAGTTATGAGAAAAGTGTCCTTAGAAATATGGTGCACTGTCCTGCTCATAGGGTGTCCTACTAAAATGGTGTCCTATTAGAAATGTGCCCTGCTCATAGGGTGTCTTACTAAAATAGTGTCCTGCTCATAGGGTGTCCTATTAGAAATGTGTCCTGCTCATAGGGTGTCCTACTAAAATGGTGTCCTATTAGAAATGTGTCCTGCTCCTAGGGTGTCCTATTAGAAATGTGTGCTACTGATAGGGTGTCCTACTAATGGTGTCCTACTAGAAGGGTGTCCTGCTAAAAGTGTGTCCTGTAACAGAAGACACCATGATCCACTTGCCACCTGTCCTAATTATATTCACGACCACTAATTACATTACATTCATACCTCTATGCTATGAAGTTCTAATAGTCACAGGAAGAGGTGTCCATCCATAATTACAAGTAACACAATCTATCACAAGCACATAATAATTATACATCAATCTTTACCACAGCTTCTAGAGTACAATTATACATCAATTATACGTACATCTTTTGTTGTGTTATTTTATTGTTGTGTGGGGTATTATGTGAAAGTAGTGGATTGTGAGTAGCTATCTCGGAGTATAATTGATGCCATTAGTGACACAGAGTATCCGGACGTATGTGGTGTGTTTGCGTGTGTGAATGCACAATACCTATCTCCATAGCAACACTGTGCGTTGCCAATCTCGGTCGATTATCGTCGTATCTTGTCTAATTTCTTGCGGCGTCTCTTCTGCCAAACTGTACTCTCTAGCCCAAGTCAGGTATATACGTAGCTCTATATAATTATGTTGTTTACTAGAGAGGGAGATTGGATTGGCTATACAGTGGAACCTTGCTAACTACGGTTGTTACTCGGCCAACTAGCCACGAGGTTCAAACCGTCCGATAATGTAGAGAATATTGAAAGTGAATAAATGGAAACCTTGCTAATCCAAAGCCTCATATATTCAGCTATCTAACCAATGGCTTTGGCACGGATTTATCGTACGATTCTAAATAACGAGCACCTCCAAAAAAAGTGGCAATGAAAATTATTAAGTCATTTTTCATGCCTCAAATACAGCATTTCATTGTTGGCATACCAACGACATTAAAATGAACCTACAATGTAGGTGTACATAAGCTCTTTATGAAGAGAGAGAGGGAGTGTGTGACCTGACTTTATGTAGTGTGCGTCCATTTGTGGGTCTTCTGCATGTGCAGTGTTCATGGCACTACAAGCTACACATCCTTAATGGGTTCATTGTGCAATTGGTATGTACGTGTGGTTGAGTTACACCTCTCAAATACCGATCAATCGCCTGTACTTATTAGCATAACGAGTTACCGTAAACCGCCTTGCGTTCCAAAAGCTCCTTCGTAACAACTGACATCACATTCTGTGTTTGCCTCATATTGCCTCATATCATATGTGTTTAATCCCACTGCTACTTGCACCACATAATACTAGGAGAGGGAGTATAAGTTCCTATAATAAGTATGTCCCTATACACCTAAGTATAAAGTGTAAAGTATATAAACCCTAGTGTGGAGTAAGGCTGGGATAAATATGATATCATGTAAGTTGTTGCCTTATTCATAGCCTGTGCTTCATGCTGTGGTGAGTTAGCAGTGAGAGAGATGAGGGAAGGTGGAGATGGTTTTAGTCGGGAAGAGGGAGGGAGAGGCGAGAGTTAGTCTCAGTACATGAATATGGTGATGAGTTGCAGTGGCTCGTGAATATCATTGATGAGAGAGAAGGGAGATGAGAGGGAGGAAGGAAAGAAGAGGGAGAGATGAGAAACGAGAGAAAACAGAGGGTAGAAAAGAGCGGAGAGAAGAGAGATGAAAGCGAGAGTCAGTCCATCGTCTCATGTGTCTTGTACGTGCACAGTCCTTCCTCAGTTATCAATCCTTCCGACCCATGCACAGACACCATAATACCACACTGAGACAGTATGGCAGTGTATATACATACATACCAGGGTGTGGGACCTTTGTTTTGCAAGGCATTCAGCAACAATTCAAACAGTAATATATTATGTTACTGCCTTGGCAACCGATCCGAGCACGCAAGCCGCGCAAACTCTGTAATGAAGAAAACTGGATCATATTTTGCCGTCTTTTCCCCCTCCCCTCCGTCCACGTAGCTATGGTTCTGCTGTATCACTAAGTACGGTAGTACTTAGTATATAGGGATGACACAGGTTGCCCTGCATTATGCCCATACATTTGAGATTTTCATGTATCACTTTCAGTTTCAATCAGATCCATAGCTGTCTATAGGCAACTAAGGGATGCAGTATACGTAGCTATCCATAGAAATAAGTATTGTATGTTACGGAAGTATATACACTGTACATTTGCTTATTGTAATCCTATGCATGTGTGAAGTATGTGTGTGTGTATGTGTCAAACCAGCTTCCTTTGCTGGGTTTTTGCATACATACAGTGCTTCCTACGGTTTTTGGTGTGATTCATTGTCTCTCAACGTCACGTGGGAATTACTTAGTGTACTTGGTGGATGTGCATGTATTGCAGAAACCTTTCTATTATAGGACACTTGTTTCTGATAGTAATGATAGTAATTTACAGTGAATGTCCGAACAGAAAGTGAAATAACAGCTCTTTATCAATTGTCCAAGTGTGTCAAACCATGTTAGGTAAGGTTATGGCTACCACAAGTATTCAGTCATAGTTTTGTATGTATGTGATGGCCATTCTTAGTAATTAGTGTTAATCAAGGGTTAATCTGATTAGGAACTGCCCATGTAGCTCGGACCACTAACCATGTGGTTAATGAGTGTCCTATAGTGTAGATTTTTGAATGAGTTTTGCTAAATGAGCATTAACTGACCTGGCCTTTATTGAGTGGGGTTTACAAAGTCAATCAAAGTGACTAAGGTCAGCTATAAGTCCATTATCTCTGATGGTGGGAAACAGGAAGTTGTGGTTTTCACTATCTCTGCATCATCTACAGGTGCCACATAATTCAGATTACTACTCTTGATAAGAGTGTTGTTGCTCATGTCCCCTCTGACCACTGACCACACATATGATTCTGTGTGATGTCACATGACATCAGTTTTCAATTTCACTGTTTACCAAAACAAGACTTGGGAGAAAGGTCTCGCTATAGGGTTGTGTAGAAGGAGTCCTAATAGAGGTGTCCTGGTAGTGTGTCCTGATATTTAGGTGTCCTGGTAGTGTGTCCTGATATTTAGGTGTCCTGGTAGTGTGTCCTTATATTTAGGTGTCCTGGTAGCTAGTATGTCCTGGTAGTGTGTCCTGATATTTAGGTGTCCTGGTAGTGGTGTCCTGGTAGTGTGTCCTTATATTTAGGTGTCCTGGTAGTGGTGTCCTGATATTTAGGTGTCCTGGTAGTGTGTCCTGATAATACTAGAGACGATAGCAGCTGCTCTCACATAGTTGGAGCTACCACCACTCTCTCTCTCTTTTACTCTACGCTAAAGAGGTTTCTAGTTGACACCATAGTGTGTTTTAATAGTAAACAGACCCCAGGGAGCTGGTTGGGTGCGGCAGTAGGAGATAGAGAGGGAGGGTAGTGGAAGAGGGTCAGTATAATTATACAGTTTGCCATTGCTAGTAAACAGACCCCAGGGAGCTGGTTGGGTGCGGCAGTAGGAGATAGAGAGGGAGGGTAGTGGAAGAGGGTCAGTATAATTATACAGTTTGCCATTGCTAGTAAACAGACCCCAGGGCGCTGGTTGGGTGCGGCAGTAGGAGATAGAGAGGGAGGGTAGTGGAAGAGGGTCAGTCAGGGAGTTGGGTGCGGCAGTAGGAGATAGAGAGGGAGGGTAGTGGAAGAGGGTCAGTATAATTATACAGTTTGCCATTGCTAGTAAACAGACCCCAGGGAGCTGGTTGGGTGCGGCAGTAGGAGATAGAGAGGGAGGGTAGTGGAAGAG